TTGAACTCTTTCTTAGCCAGGCAATAAACTTACCTGAAATAATAGCCATTTCGGAAACCAAACTTGGTAAAACTGACCACAACATTTTATTAAAAGGGTATAAGTTTTTTCACCGTGACTCACCGACTAATGCCGGTGGAGTAGGAATATATGTATTAGACAATATACATGCTATAGAACGTGACGATCTTAATTTTGAAGTCCTTGGCTGTGAGAACATTTGGGTTGAACTGAAAATTAGTAATACTAGTTATAATATACAACAAAAAAAATTAATAGTTGGAGTTGTTTATAGACATCCTCTTTATTCAGTTATTCGTATTCTGAATTCCAAGAAAATTTTGTTTCAATGATCTCACAGCTCAGCTCATATGGTTCTAGTTCATTTATTCTTGGGGATTTCAATATTGACATTCTTAAATATGACATTGATCACAAAGTTAAAAACTATGTAGATGCTATACATAGTGCTGGTTTTTTGTGTGGTGTAAACAAGCCTACAAGACTAGGCTTGACAAGTGAAACCCTATTGGACCATGTATACCTTAATGATATGCAATTAGAAACGTGTACAAATATTGTAACTAATGTAATGACTTGTCTGATCATTTTCCCTTATTAATAGAGACAAAACTAATGTGTGAAAAATCTAAAATAAAATTGCGCAAACGAGATTTTTCTTATTTTTCGCCAGAAAATTATCTAGAACATCTCACAGCTGTACTGAACCGCAACTTAAACACAGAGAGAGATACTAACTCCAATTTTCACATTTTTATTGAAACAATCAAAGAAGTTATTGATAAACATGTGCCATTAAAAACCTTGTCTAAAAAAGAAGTTAAAATGAGGATAAAACCCTGGATTACTGCTGGCTTGCTGAAATCAATTAGAGTAAAAAATAAAATGTACGAAAATAGTTACAAGAATAAAAAATCTGAAAAGTTCAAGAAATACAAAACCTATAAAAAATGTCTTGAAAACTCACTCTCGACTGCAAAAAAAAACTACTACAAAGAAAAATTGGAAGTATGCCAAAAAAACATTGCAAAAACTTGGAAGCAAATTCGTAATATTATAAACAAAAACTGATAACTTGCCATCATTTATCGAAATTAACGGTGTAAAAAATTATAATAGCAATGTAATTTGTGATGTTATGAATAAACACTTCTCAAGTATCGGCCGCAAGCTTGCATCTAAAATTGGGCCATCTCCAAAGAAATTTGACATATTTCTAGGTTCTTCATTGCAAAACTCATTCTTTCTTCAGGAAACTACACATTGCGAAGTTGAAAGTCTAATTAATAAATTAGATACCAACAAGGCAGTAGGGCCGGATAGTATACCGACCGGGCTTATCAAGATTGCAAAATCAATTTTAGCTCCAACACTCACAAAAATTATCAACCAAAGTTTTAGGGAAGGTATTTATCCTGAAATATTAAAATTAGCAAAAGTAGTACCGATTCATAAAAAAGGCACAAAATCTGACCCTAATAATTACCGACCTATTTCTCTCCTTTCTCAGTTTGCCAAAATTTATGAAAAAATTTTGTATAATCGCCTTGCAGTCTACTTTGACAAAACAAATGTGCTGAATGAATCCCAATTTGGTTTCCGAAATGACTATTCGACCAAACTCGCAGTGACAAAATTGAGAGAAAAAATATTCGAAAACTTGTCAAAAGGCAGAGTTACCTGTACTGTATTTTTAGGCTTGGCTAAAGCCTTTGACACTGTGAACCATGAAATTTTGCTTTGTAAAATGTCTCATTATGGAATTCGAGGATTACCCCTCAAATTATTACACTCATATCTAAGTGAGAGACAACAGTACATTGAATGCATCGATGGCATCTCTTCGCTTGAATATATAACATGTGGTGTCCCACAAGGGAGTACTCTTGGACCGCTTCTATTTCTACTATACATCAATGATTTACCAGCAGCAACTAGCTCAGACTCGACTCTTTTTGCAGACGATACCGCGCTCATTGATTCTGCTGCATGCTGTGAAGAACTGCAGATTTCGATCAATAAAAAAATCGAGATGGTCAACTTATGGCTAAAAAGTAATAAATTATCATTAAACCTCTCAAAAACTAAATTCATGGTTTTTGGTTCCAGGCAAACTACTTGGCAGTTCCATCTCCAAATTGACAATAAAAAGTTAGAAAGAACAAAATGTATTAAGTATTTGGGTATAATCCTAGATGAGAACTTGTCATGGAAACCTCATATTGATCACTTATGTAAAAAAGTTTCACAATCACTCGGAATATTGTATAAGTTACGTAGAATCCTCGGTATCGATGCATTAAAAATTGTATACTATAGTCTTATATACTCTCATCTGAAATATGGCATTATAAGTTGGGGAGGAACTAATAAAACTACGCTAAAACCACTAGTAATTCTGCATAACAGGGCAATTCGCTGCATGCTATCTGCAGAATCACAGCATGTTCATAACTCACTCTTATACAAGCAGTGTGGAGTATTGCAACTGAAAGATATCTATCTTTCTGAAATTGCCAAATTTATGTATCGCTTCGAAAATCATATGCTACCCCCTATATTTCATAACTTTTTTACAAAAATTTCAACCATCCATAGCCATGCCACAAGGAGTGTTACAAAAAGGACTTATTTCATGCCTCGATGTTCATTTTCCTTAACAAATAAAACGCTCAAAACAGAAGGCATTCTAATTTGGGAAAAAATTCCGTCTATCTAATATTAATCTAATATTAAAGAAAACTCACTTGCAACATTCAGTAAGCGATTAAAAATTCATCTACTTGATGACTATGAATAGATGAAAAAAAGACGACTAGGTTTTTTTTTTTTTCTCCTCACGTATTCAAGTTAAATTATTATTGTATTGCTGCTATGTCCATGCTCCATAATTTTTGCCCAAATCTCAAATAACTTTGATAGCAGTTTCACTCAAATAATAACAATAACAAATTCTGCAACTAGTGCCCAATTAGAAAAACAGCCTTCCAACATTCAAATTATAAAAAGAATTGCCTCCCCCCTGTAAACAATAGCTTAACGTATTTGTTTTTAGTGTTCACTTCATTTATTGTGTTCAGTGTTCACCTTATTTATTGTGTTTAGTGTTCACCTTATTTATTGTTCAATATTAATCCAATAATAACAGTGGTACTTCGGGTGTCGCTGCTCGATAACCATTTTTGGTTCCCTGCGACTTCCCTTCCCCAGTAAAATTGTGTACTATTTTTTGTAATTTGTGCCTGTGTTATTTATTTATTTTTTACTGGTTGGAAAAAAATAAACTTGATTGATTGATACCGCATAGCAACAAAATAATAATGGCGTGTACCGGTAACACAAATGCGATGTGATGGTGAAATGAAATTGCCATTTTCGTTTTTACTGATGCAGTAGTTGTACCATTAAATTCAGTTACTTTTGCAGTCGGTATTTAATTGCATACTTCCCCCATTTTTTCATTACACTAGTACCTATTTCATCAGCTAAAAAATAGCTTTTTCCCGTCCTGTCTTCATTATGTCATTGGGGCAAGTATAAAAAATCCTGAAATTGTTTCATCTGCGCTACCTTTATCTTGAGTTTCATAATTTGTATCCAACCCTTCTTCTGTTCTTACAGTCTTAACAGTACTGCAGTAAGGAATTTGTTAATATTCCAATTTCTTAATCTTCCAACTCACTGTACTAGATAGCGCATAAGCCTGTAAGCCCTTTTCTTGAAATGAATGTTGGTAGTAAAAAACAAGAAATGACATTAGAAGAGCAAGCTGTTGCTGAAATTTTGAAGGAAGCAGCTCGAGGTAAAGAACGATCAAAAACATTAGGACCTGCAGGATGGTGAGATTTATTGAATGTACAATACAGATATATTATCCCTAATCATGTAATCTGTATCTTGAAAGGTTTTTGCACTGTACTTATCCATTTTCCCCTATTTGCTCATTAATGACCTATTTTATTATCTTCCACTCCCAATTCCGCAATTGCAGAGTTGTGTAAATGAGATGCTCTTCAGCATATTGTCATAGATAGATTTCATTTATATTGGCTTTTTAAAAATAGAATTTAAAATGTTCAATTACCTCAAACTGCCATATTTTTCAATATATTTCTGCATTTATTTTACAGGAGGAAGGGTGCTACAACAAATAAAGTATTCTTGAAACGAACTTTGGCAAGTGCACTATATGACCCAACAAGCCGATCAAACAACTCCATAAAGAAGGAGGACCAAATACAAAAGGTAAAGAGGCTCTTCAAAATATTACCTATAGTTGGAATCACTCACTAGAGGAATGTGTCATAAGGATGATAGAGTTTATGGAAGGAAATTATACTACTTCTGCATTTGGCTTTCCAGATTTATATATAATTAAATTATGTTATTTCCAAGCCCTTCAAGTAACAACAAAGTTTTTTGTCCTTGACAATTGAAGATAGCAACAATTTAATACTTAACTATTATGAAACATATTTTAAAAATGAAATATCAAATATATGCGAAGTTGAATTATAATGAAGAGGAAAATTTGAATCATTGTATATTTGATACACACAGAAAAGTTGTTTCTATTGGTTTTCTACATTTTTCATATGTTTAATAATAACAAATGGTGGGTCCGAACATCAGATATAAATTGCATAATCTCACATTCTTTACAATGGGAAAGATTTAAATTAATTCTGAAATCAGCCAGCTTACCGGCTTTTCCCATTCCCTGCATAAATATGAGAGTCCTAAGTTACTAATAACTGTTGGGTAATCTTTACACTTTTACAGACTGAGGCATCATCTAGTTCCACCAGTTGCTCAACAAAAGATTGTGATAGGTCACCAAGAAGGAAGTCTAGGAACCAGAAAAGATCATCCAACTCGAAGGATAAACAAAGATCAGATAAAAGTTACAATTCAACAAAATCAAAGAAACGATATCCATCAGGTAATAAAATATTTTGATTCAAACTACGGTAGTTACAAATGCATACATAAGAAACATAAATGATAAACCTCTCTCGAAATTTTGCCACTGAAATTTGGAATTATCTTCTTCATGATTTTGCACAGACTCATTTTGACTGTTCTCTTTTCAGTTTATCAATTGTATGCAATATAGTTTCATTTGAATGTTATGTGGATGTTGCATGGCTTCATATTTCAGTATGGTTTAGAGACATTGGCATTGCAGTTGTTGTGAGAGACTTCGTTGGTGATTGCTTGCAGGTTTTCTATTTGAGCCAGTTTCATTGAAGATGAGTACAATGGGCTTGTTTGAGCAAAGTCCTAGAAAGAATTAATTTTGTGCCAATAAATGAATAATTTTTGCCTCCTATGTTAAACTGAATCGTGTAATATGCAACCCTCAAAGAATCATGTGAGTCGTTGCTATAAACAAATTTCTATTCATTGACTAATATTTTGCCAAAATACTTTCCAACATGAATATTAAATCATTTCGCAATAATTAGGCCTACTTTGCTTTAGGACCATTATGTCATCCAATTTTTGCTGTATTTATACCAATTCCTAGTTAGGCCAACACAGGACAGTAGTATTTGTTAATGCAAATCCTCGAAGAATAATTTATTCTGACAGGATGTAGGTGGATGATGACTTCCTTCTTTTGTAATGGACAAATTTATTGTCTGAACTATTCTAGCAGCATCATGCCACACGAGTCACACATTTGAAACAGCTGTTGGTTGCGAGCCATCATTATATAGTTATGGTATACTGTTAACGCATGCTATGTTTAGGTGGTAGTACTCAACTATTATTTTCAATATTCAAAATGGATTTGTTTCATTATATGAGGTCATTGTAGGTCATTCATTGATAGTGAGGGATAATAATGTCTGGTCCAGCTGAATCCCACTTTGTAATTTCTGATTAAATTCTGTCTTTACTTAAATTCTGTCGTTGCGTACAGTACTAGTTATGTTAATCGAAATATGGAAATACAGATTTAGTTGTAGAGTTTACAATATTTCTAGTCATTGCACTTGTGGTGAATTTGTTGCTATCATTAGTGCAGTTTATCATTACCTCATTTTTGGTTAATATGATTTAGATATTTAGTTTAATTAAATAATTTTGAAGTTTTTTTTTATATACACTTTACTCAAAGCAAAGTCCTGAATCCTCAGGTAAAAGTTGAAATAGTTCTGATGGCGTCAGAAAGCATTGATGTTCTAAAAACAATATATTTTATCATTGTGGCACTAATATGTCAGTAGCTGGAAGAGACGTGATGCCTGCAACAATATAGGCATACTTTTACTGATTTGGTATTTCAGATTCATGTTAGAGAAATCTAAAGAAATTTTTCATGAAAGTAGGCAATTATTAGGAATTTTCATGAAATTTTGTGGCTTGAGTTGGTGTAATATTATTTTTACAATGCGTACAATGACCCAAAAAATGTATAATAGATATCAGACCTGATTTACTCAGCAGTAGCAATTAATATGTCATATCATAATTTAGTGATGTATTTGAATGTAATAACATGAAATATGATTCGTGATCGAATGCCTGATTTATTAGAACTTGCTAGAACAAATCCTGGTTTATATAATGAACCAGAATTGCATCAAGAAGTTCCTCTCGATCCAACTCTGAAAGTTATGTTTGAAAGGGTTTGTTTATGTTTGTCTGATTTTTTTAATTTCTATACAATGTTATATTTTATATGTCTGTATATAAAAAAAATTATTGGTAGTGTTTAGTTTACATTTGAAGAATGAACAGGAGGTGTACAATAATTAGTGTCATTAAAGAAAGATGTTTTTATTTGAACAATATCAATTAAAACTGGTTTTCACCAAAGTAAAATGATGCCCTGCCCTTTTGTGGAAATATTGATAAATTTTACATACCTAAATTTCATTGTTGGTTTTTGAATCTATGGATCTATTTTGCAATGATTACCTGATTTAATACATGCAGTTAGCACTAATCGCAAAGCTATTTTCTGTACAACTTTTTTATGATATTGATGCATTTATAACTTTTTACTATGAACAAGCAAGCCACTGATATGTAAGGGGCTACTTCAAAAATTCAAGTTAAGCACATTTGATGTTACACATGTCGGAGCATTGTTGTTGTAATAATGCTTCATGGGTCCTGCAAATCGCACCCAGAAATCATGTAGTCCAGCAATCTTACATATGATCACCTAATAAAATTCAATATTAGTTGAGGTGGTCATCGATATGATTTTCTACTTATGCTTATCAGACACAGAGCCGTTCATGTTATCTGAACATTTGAAACTTAACAACTTTTAATCTTCATCAAACTTCCAGGCAGCAAAAGTCGCAAAATTTCTGTCTCAGATGAAGAAACTCATGTGGGAACTAAATAAACTACATGATCGAATATTGACGTGTTCTAGTTTTGAGCAAGAAGAAGAATGCAGGAAATTGGTAGGTTGATAAATATAGGGGTGATTCCATAGCCTTGGACTTAAATGTGTTAGAATCACAGGTTACCCATCTCAAAGTCAAATTCCATTCCCATGACCTCACCCAGGATGCGGTAAATTCATTAGGAAATGCGAAGGGATTCCGGCCTTCCAAAAATAACGACTTTTTACGTATCTTCAATACATAGTTTACATGATAAGATATATGCACACTCGCCATGTTATGAAAAGAAACTTAATCTCAAACCAAACTGGAATGTGAAATTGCAGGAGTCCTTTTCGTTTAATCCGGATCATCCATTGCCTTAAATACATATATCTTGTTTCAGATTTCAAATGTTGGAAATCGATTTGGTGCTTTGGCAAGAAAGAGTAAAGCTGTGTTAAGAAGATTTGAAATTGATGAAAATATAATGCAAAATTATTCTGCAGCAAACCATTCCCCACCTATTGTTGATTGGAAGTCAAACAGAGACGATGTAGAAATGAGAAGTTTCAAGGATAATGCCCATGTATGCTCTCTTGCAATCTATGTATTGTAATCACAAATATTGACAAATATTTCGACTTTGAATCCAGGTTGAGTGTACTTCTGAATCCAACTCCAAACTCTGAGAATACCAAATTTGGATAAACAAATATTTTGCACAGCTTTGCTTAATCAATTGCCTGTTGAGTCTGTCTTGAATTGGATTATCAATCAATTCGTAAAAGTTCCTACCTCCAAATTTTGATTCCTATTTACCGGTGATAGAAACATCTAGACTCTCATTCATTGATAATCTCCTGATGTTCGAATTCATTGATTCTTTATTTCAAAAACCTGTCAGGTTATCCAGCTATGATGACTGCTGATATTCAAGTAGATTTATTTCCATTATAGCTTGCTTGTGTTACATGACATATAAAATATTTTTAATTAAATTGTATAATGGAAAAAGTTGAGTTAATTTTCTGTTGTTTTATCAGGTAACTTGCATCGATTACCTTCAGGAAATTTACTTCCATTATCCAGCTCTCATTTTATTCCTGCCGAAATTCGAATGAGATTTCATCTCCATAATATATTTTCATATAAGTAAGCAATAATATTGTTTTCGCTTGACTATCGACTAATTATTAATTAACATACCTTTTTATAATCTAATCTTATCTGATAGGCTCACTTGTCTTGTTCGAGAATATTATGTAATGCAAAAAGTTTATGGTGATCAATGTAGAAACAAAATCAAGAGACAAATGGCGATCATTGGAAGAGAAATGAAGGAATCTGAACTTGATGAGTGAGATTTTGTTAAAATCCAATCTTTCATTGCCTATAATTTGTGTTTTGCTACTGATGAGCTAAATGATAAATATGAAGTTGTGCTTAAGCTATCAAAATTGCTGGATATGCTCGTGTTGAACAACTAACTGCGCCAAAATTTATTTTCACCTTTGTCTACCTGGCATGTTTTTTTCTAGAATACTTGTCTCTATCAAAGTATTTGATATTTTTTGAATTTTCTCCAATTTAAATTGGGTACAAGAACCAGAAAGGTTTTAATCGTTTCAATAATTATTAGCTCATTAGATATTAGCAGATGATTGTACAGAGTGAACAGCATAAATAAGTGTCATGTAAAAAATCCATCAAGAATTTTGCACAAGATTCTATCTATACAAACTTTGTCTCTTACAGATTTATTGAAATTTTCAATTTCAGAGCAATCCAACACCAAGAACGAATTCCTTTACTACATCAAGAAATATTAGATGACACTGTTGTTGATCGTCAAATGCAAGCTAGAATAAAAGAAGTTGAAGTTTTACACAAAGAGATTCTTAATTTAGAGGTATGAAAAAACATTTTTCATTTATTATTTAGTCGTAATTACTCCGAAAAGTTTAATTCGCAATATCTCAGTGCACATGTTTGATCATCACATTACCAATCAGCGAAACAAAAATATAAATACACCATTTCTTCGGTAGTTTGCTATTGTGCAAGTGGGCCATATATTTTACATAACACATCTCCACGACAAGTAGAATGAATTACTCTATAATGATTATGCCATTAAAACGGCCCAAAACATATACATCGATGATTATTTATTTGTTATATGTGTAATTTTTTTATTTTTTTGTAATCACGATTGACGAAGGTTTTCTGACAATAACTGAATATGTAAGTAATATAACTAAATATGTAACTAATCAATTCGAAGTTGCCATCTCACCTGCCACAATTTACCTCCACCTAGCTTGATTTCCCAATTATTGTATTAGCGAGATCATCATCGCTGATAATAGCAACAGTTGTGACCCCGGCCCTCCTGCTAGATTTTTATGTGTTACAGCACTCTGTTCAATTGAATTCTCTATCTTTTGTTTAGAAAAGCATCGAAGAACTTCACAAATCATTCATTACAATTTCAACGTTAGTTCATGAGCAAGGTGCAATAGTAGATCGAATCGAACAACACGTTTCAATATCTGCAGACTATGTGGAAGACAGCACTGAACTTCTGAAAAAGCCAGCACATTTCAATCCAAATATAGGAAAAACAAATGTATATTGGCAATTATTATCGCATCTGCAATTGTTATTTTAGTTATTATTATTGTTGTATCTGTAAAGAAAAAACAGTCGTCGAATACAACGAAAGTAGTTGTGATGCCGCCTCCATACCCTGCTCTAACAAAACATGATATATCTTTAATCGATTCTGATCATTTATACGGACCTATTCATGTTCATCCCGGTGTTGATAAATACCACATACCCCCATAAGTTTAAACCCTTTGTTATGTGAAGCTTATTAATACCGTTCTGATTTTTTTTCTATTGCCTTAAAAAAAATAGACGATAAAAAGAGATGATATGTGGTAATTTCGTTATGATTGCATTTTTCGAATGGGGTTTGCACTCCGAGCTATTGAAAACGGAGCCTTGCTTGGGGAGGTTACATGGTTTTTCTCTTGTATGTACCATCAAAATGATTAATATTGGTAATTGAAAATATGATAGTATTCACATTTTATTACCTTTCAAAAGAGTACAAAATCACTATTGAAGTAACTTTATTTTACGAGCCCCATATTTTACACCCAGAATTAGGGATGGGCCATTGACGAACGGCCTGTATTAACCAATATAGAAGGTTCACTTTGATACAACAGACCAGTTCTAACAGCGCTTGGTGGGGATTACGCTGGTAATGTTTCGGATCAGAAAGTGGTCGCGAATGACGGCTTGGTAACGACGTGGCCGCCGTGATCCGAACAGACTGGGAATTACTTAACTGAATGCCGTATTACGCGTACTGGGGTGGACGTCTCAAGGATGCCTGTCCTAATTGTATGGACCTCCCTCATTATGAATGCTCAAACTTTATATTTCCGCGTGATTCTTCCCAATGCCTAACGCTTGAGTAAGCGAACATGAAATATTAAAGAGTCCAGCAATTAACAACCCTTCTAGCCTTCGTCGATAAAGCAATCATTTCAGGAGGAGAGTAAAATGACAGAACGCTAATAGCTAAAGCGGGATTATAGCAAAGTAATCATCTGACGTCTGATTATTTACTAATAAATGCTTATAAATCTGTCAATATTTGGTCGAACTGCACTTGCTTGATGAAAACCAACTTCTCGTGATTGCTGTCTTTCAATTCCAACACTCTCATCAACAACTTTACTTCTATCGATAAGATTATGTGAACTGTGACATTTTGCGATCATCTGCGGCAGCGTTAAGGTGTCTAAAATATCTGGCCCACATGTCGCCAGCGAGACCGCAGAAAAGCGCGTTTGCTAATCCATTACCCGAAATTTTATACCAATACATCATAGTTTTAAACGTCTAATTCGTCAGCTCTAGCGACGAGTTTACCGAGTTGTCCTAACCCACTTGACGTTAGAGAATTCAGGACCAGATATCACTTTCATAAATTCAATAATTCAGATCGATGAGTAAGGCAGCCTACCAAACTCAAAACAGTTCTCAAAATTGGAATTTTGCGCACATTCTTCGATAATAATACATTTTGGAAGGGTTGTTGAAGCAAAAAAATATGCACTCTTTTGTTAATATTAGTGTAGAATGGTAATATGGTATATAACTTTTAAGATTGAATGTGTGACGGACATGGCGGCACTTAATGGAGGTGTTTGCGGTGGAAAATCTCATTGAAGCTGTTAAGGCATCAAGTGTTTTTTATAATATTTTGATTACTGGTGCGGTATTTATTTCCTCTGGCAATGCTTGTGAAGGCGCATTCTTGTTGTCCGACAACGACTGACATTAACGCACGGAAGCTTTGATGCCCTCGAGCAATACAATATAGTTATGGCATAAGCAATCATACAAATATAATTTACGTCGTGAAATCGCTTGAAATTTTTACTGGCCTGCAATACAGTTAGAGCCTGACAACCTTATAGCCAGGCGGTTTACGGCTACCATGAACTTAATACACCACACCTATCGTTATTAGAGCGTCCTCATACGCTCAATACATAACAAAAATGTACCGGAGTAATTATGACGTGGGAATTTAACCTCAAACTGTATCTGATAAAATTGAAAAACATATGTATAAATTTTGCAATGCTTTATAATTTTTATAAAAATGATTCAACCATGCCATGTTATATGTAAAAATGTTTAATGAATTTGAAATATAAAAATTATCGTATATGCAAAAATTACGTGAAGTATATATATATTTATATATACTGTGTATGTACAGCTGCGCTGTTGGTTGACGTTATGGCGTTGTAGTTAAACAACAACACATTTTGTTCACACAATGATAAACGTGAACAAAAAAAATCTGATTTCCGTATTGAAGGAAATGGTGAATTTCGTAGAAAACTTTTCTTTCATAATCCTCGATTGTTGCTGGACCAAAACTGTACTTGATTTGAAGCAGTATCGGGAAATATAAGTATTGGCCTTATTTGGTTAAATGTTCCCAACACCATTCTTCGGTTTCATAACATGTATATAAAAGATTTTCGGTGCTACTTGAATGGATAATAAATTTTAACATCGAGTTTTAGAAAATATATAATATATTAAAGCAAGATAATGGCTTAAAACTCTAAGCGCGCTATGAAATCTGCCAATGGTAATTTGCGTTACATTTCAGTGCCTTTTATTTAAATGTTATCCAAAAAATAGGGTGTAAACACTTCACGTCTTTGCATTAGGCTAGTAATCGTCTTTCTTGGGTGATATTTCGAACAGTTTCCATGAACATATTCATACCTCATTATACAGTAGTTAAATATTGTCAAATATCAGCCTCGATAATTTGAAAGTCCTTTCATATCCAAAGACCCATTAATTTAGTTTTCCCATCTTTTGATTCGCTGTCTTTTCGGGGTTTAGCTGTGATGTTGTTTGTGTTGGGTAAGGATCTACGTGGAGTATTGTTATTATGGTGAGAGTTTGTCCGTTGAGTTTCTGTGATGTCTACGTCATATGACGACGATAAAGGGATTCCACTTTTTGTGGTACGAATATGCGGTGTTGGGTAGTCCGACGGCGCTGGTTGTTTTTCAGAATTCTTTTTTAACATTTTTCCAAAAAATCCAGTTTTTTGTACGGACCTACTCATATCGCGTCCGTGGAGTTCTTCTTTCTTTTGCATTATATCTTCCATTGATTTTTGCATATCTTCTTTTTCCTCGACAAGCTTGCGTCTTCTTTCAAGCTGTTCGATACCGTGTGTGATTGCTACCTCCCTCTTGCGCAAAGATTCTTCTTTTAAACGAAGTCCAGCTTCTTCTTGACGCACTCTTCTCTCGCGATTTTTTATCCTCCGTTCCCGTGCTCTGTGATCTTCTTCCTCTCCGTCCATCTTTGCTTCGAGGGCATCTTGCTCTTCCTCAGCAAGTTTCAGTGCTGCTCTCCTCCTACATAGCTTAGCTTGTCGCTCTTCTATTTTTGCTTGTCTAGCGCGTAACGTTGCTGAAAATTCAGACAATCTAGCTTCTGCAACATCTAATCTAGCAATTCCAACGTCATTTTTAAGAGCCTTTGCTCTTCTTTTTGCAGCTGTTTCGAGTGTCTTTGCCTTGCGCATTTCTAATGGATGTTCACTCTCACCGGCAGCCATATCGCGCAAAGGGAAAATTAACTCGCTATCATCACTATTGTATCCATTTGGAAATGCTCTAGGCGCTGGACGAGGAACCAAGTCTTTTGATGCAGGGACCAATGCGCGTGACATATTTGGTATAGCTTTATTTTGCGATCTTGGAGTTTTTATCGGTTGGAACATCATACGTCCTCCTTGAAGTTGATGTAAATGGTCACTGACTTCCCTGTCTCGGGATTTCATTGTGACTGTCCGTTCTCTCATTTGTTTTTTCGTTGCTGCATCCAGCGAATTGCGCCTCGGAATCTCTGTAGTTGCATTTGGGTTTGAATCCCGATGATCCTTTCGTCGACCGTACAAAAATGTAATTGAATTTGTCGATCTTCTTTTTGACATCAGTTCTTTGCGCTGCTCCGGATCAAGTTGTTGACTGTTCTTACCATGTCGTACGCGTGCTCCATGTTTACGTCTAATAAGTTCTATCTCGTCTTCAGTTTCTTTAACAAGACGAACGTAAGATGTCGGTGCTGATGTTTGTCTGTCCGTAGCGTTCGTTCTTGTACCCGCGATAGCCGTAGATTGTCCTGAGTATTGTTGAATGAATTTTTGACCACCCGTATACTGATTTCGAACGTCATATCTGTTCCTCACTACGGGCCTTGCATGCTCCCAAGCTGCTATATCTTCATTTACTCGGATTCCTTTCTCTTTTTCATAGCGATCGCCATCAGTGTCACTGTCATCTGAGTCATTGTCGCCATCAAAATTGGCATTGTCACGGTCACCTTCATCGTCATCTGTGACATCATCATCGTTGTCGTCATCATCACCATCGTCGTCCGGCCCACTGCTGTCGGATTCGTTCTTATTTTCTTCAACTTCGTCACCATATATTACGTCTGTCTTTTTTGCTTTTGATTTTCCCATTTTTGGGCGCTGTGTAATAAGGTTCGATTTCAATAGTTCTGGATTTCGTGTTTTCTTCAGGTCACTTTGTTCACTAACGTCACTGTTGCTATGGATTCCTGATGACGTAGAAGTGTTATCCTTGAATATTGTTCTCTGTCGCATTTCAACATGAAGAGCCTTCAAAAGTTGCCCGGACCCAGAAGTGCGAGGAATGATAGGCTTGCGGGAAGGCATCGTAAAATCAATAAGTCTTCGGTAAACGTTTTCTGTATCTGTCAAATAAATAGAACGAGTTTGAGTCAGGATATTTCGAAATACATTAGGACCGGAGTTTAAAGTAATTACTTGAGACGGGCAGTTCACTTATTATGAACATTGCGTTTCATTAGGCTACGTTTAGTACTATAATCATAGATAATGGCCTTAAAAAAGCATTCTCTTTAATCTATTCAGATGAGTATCGATCATTGTATTCTAGTGCAGACCCTGAGGTGTGTTTTGTCAATATTGCCAATATCTTGCCAACCAACGTTGGAATATAGGAATTTGCACTAAATTCGACATGACCGCGTAATATTTTGCCGGAACTGAAATCCAACTTGTGCTAAATCAAAACATTTTGTTGAGATCGTGGTTTCCCAATGTCGTCCAAAATGGGTATATATAGAACATTACGATTGTATTTCCCTCGAGAGTCCGACAATCGATGTCTCTTCGTGACTAAAATAAACCACTTGATTTAAACCTTGTCAAATTGAGTAACGATGTTTATCCTTTTCATTAGAACGATTTTAAACGGAAAGTAGTTTTTTTAAATATGCAAGGAGACATGCAGGGTGCTGATTTTTTTATATGTACATGTCATTAAAGAATCGATAACATGTTAAAATTTAATTCTGCCGATTAGACAATTCAATGGTGTTTGGATCGTTAAACTATGATTTATTAACACTCCTCATACCGGAATACAGCCATTTGGGAAATATAGATGAATAATGACATTTCATCGAAATATTGGTTAATTTTATTATTTTTTATTACAGTGGCACGACCTGTGACCAAACATTGGGAATGTACTAAGTACCCATATGCAAAATTCATTATCATTATTTACATCTAACACATGCGCAGTGAAGGTGTTTGTTATGCTACCCATTACTCAATGTCAAATAAAGTCGCGAAAACAAAATTTGCTATAAAAATTTCATTACGATGTAGTGTAAAATAAAATATATATCAACAATATAAAATGTAGCGGAAAGCAAAAGTTGTCAGCAATTGATACAATAAAATACGTATATTTGAAGTTTCCGACGCACAGTTGTTTTGTAAAAATATTGCGCAAAAATACTATTTCCAATATCTGACCACATTATTTTAAATTACGTTAACACGCTCGTTGACGTCAGTGGGAAAATCGTTAGAAATCACGTTACGCTTTACTACGAATCCGTTGCGTGTACCTGGCATGTATTATAGATGTATTGCAATATGCAAGATATGGTTGGCGGTGTACCTTAATAGCTTATGCTGTCAAAATTGAGCGAATTAGCATTATGACCTCATTTTAGAAAGCACGCAGTAACCTTTTGCTTATAAGACTACAATTTTTTGTTAGTGGAATTCACTAAATCACAAAACGTCTTTGAGAATTTCCCCAAAGAGTTACGTAAATTGCTAATAGATGGGACAAGGTCGTTTATTAGTGTGTGCGGAGTAATTTTACTTGCCAAAAGGATATTCTAGCGGTGGATACTTGTTCAATTATTGTGGCTGAACTCTTCTCACCCAACTTCTCTCTCGGCAATCTATTATCAATAGTTTCATTATAACGAAGTACTAATGCCACTACCGTAATACCCGATAATCTAAATTACCTGGAAAAGTAACTACAATCAAGATCGCGTTATTTATAATCCAAGCCAAGCTATTTGCAATGGGTTTGTCTAACTAATTGAATGCACCACCAATACCGTGCTTGCACGTGAGCAAACAGAAAGTATCATATATTTGTGCTATCCTGTCTCCGACCACAAATTTACGCCCGTAAGGTATCTGTTGGCCTGATGTGAATTATGCTGATTTCCATCTAGTCAACTTTTGAGTTATTTTCTGAAATATTCAGCTTACATACCCAATATTTGAGGCCCGAATCACGCCTTTATACCCAAAAATAAATCAAGACGAAAGTTATTTTTTATAAACGTAGTTCTGTCACATAATATGTAGTTTTACGAAATACTTCATAGCTGCTCCACTACAACCGCGCTACGTTTTTGTCTTCAGCAGGCTCGTCCCCGATCACCCGAACTTCCAATCACCCGATAAGCATTCTTGCCCCCGGGCAGTCACGTGATTTTGATTCTTATTGTGAATTTCATATCGGAGACAACGCATGATTTGTTCATGCGATATTGTTATGCTATAGCCTGTGAGAAATTAGGCGATAAGATCGCCACAATTTACATTTATAACGTAAAATTATATAAGTGTGTTTTCTCGCAAAATTGACTTCAGAGGAAAGCAGTTCAAAATTTTGATTCGGTAAAATTTATTAAGATTGTTTCTTCACGTCTAAAAAAAAACGAACGGGGTATGATTAATAAAGTAAAATAATTTGTGGCGACGCTGGTACATTCGTATTTGACCTTTTATTTTAATTGCCATCAATTAGGCGTAGTCGTAAAAACATCGCGTTGCAATATGATTTGTGTGGAAAAGCTTAAGTTCTAAAAGTACCAATTAATTCAACATGTGGTCATTTCAGTTGTTTACCCAGAGGCTACTTTTGTTTTTAATGGACGTTTTGTTTCAAACATTTATTAAGTTAAGTTGTACTTGGTTTTCTATTGTCTATCAAAACTGCACACTTTATAAAAACTGGACCCATCAAAATAACTATTCCTACATTTTCGAAAATACCAAACCTAAAAGCTATCAATATTTGCCAGACTTGACGATAAATCCTTGTTTCTGCGGGCAAAATTAATGAATATTTAATCTTCAATGTTACCAATGGGCAAAGATTATGATCCAGTAAAGCCTTTCCTATAAATTGTTGATAGGGCCCGTTATTATCTGCGTGTATTGCTATTTACCACAACCATAAAACTAAACAAAATATGAGAATGGAATGTACAAATAGCAAACAAAATATATATTTCAAATGTACTCATTTCTAACAATCACATAAAGCCAATTGCATTAGCATCCGTAAGAATTACCACTCAAGATTGTCTGTAAAAAACGACGTGACGTTCAAATTACGGAAGGGAATTTTAGCAATCAATATAAATAGTAAAACCTGGCTTTCGTTTAAAATTTCGATAGAAGGTTCGAGCTTGTTATAAGGATGTTAAAACGATTTATCACATAGTTCAAGATTGATAAAACATAATAAAATGGTAAAATATTCCTACCTGAGAATCCATTTTACTTGATGCAAAATAAATCTTAGAAAATTGGAACGTGATACACCAGGTCGAAATTTATTTGTTGTTATCCTCGTTGTGTAAAAATTATAAATTAACAAAAAATAACTGAAACAAAACAATGATGGATGCAACATCAATTGCATAATAATAAAGAAGTATAACACTAAATTTGATGTTTCGTAGGCGTCCGCCTTGAACAAAATGAGACATTTCCAAGTGGAATCGCTCATTGACCAAATCCCAATGGTATCGTATACAGTATCTCTAAGCATTGTCAAATACAAAATACTTTTAGAAAAATATCCCCAAATATGTTGATGAGTCTCATCAATGTCTCGTCGTTTATTTCTGATCATGCATAATAAATGACGTCTTCATTTATGACATACACTCATCTAACTTTACTAGACAATATCATTAGCAAATAGGGTAATTAAAATTGGCCATGAATCTTACGAGCGGATCGTAGGCGGCAACTGAACTTTCTCAAATGATAAAATATATTGCATATAATATTACAATATTCGTATCGAAATTTTTACCAAGATAGCCACAAGCTATTTGAATAAAAACGCTAGTACGTGAAGTCTTACTTTTAAAAAAGCCGAAGTTTCGAAAATTATACATAAAGCGTAGAAACCGTGTAGCATCGGGATTGCCCTTTAAGACCCCTAATTGACCTTTCTTGTGTCAATTTTACAGATTATGTCATTTGAAGTCTTCCCAAATTGTAATTTTTTCTGCTCAATCGAAAATAAAAATCGAATTATCCCATGCATATTAACTACAAATCTCATTTTATATTCCAGTAAAGTCATTTCCGATTATAAAATCGATTATTGTCATTTCTTTTTCAACGACCTTGTAAAAGTAGAATTGACTCTTGGGAACGTATAACTAAGTACTTTTACCACACTCCCGTGTCAATAGTTCGTAGGTAACATCATAAATAGACTCTCAACACCGATGCGATCCAAAATTAGATAGAGACATAGATATACTTGTGCCAAGACAGGCATTTGGGAATCTTCAAATGGACATTTCTCCATTTATCTCGTAGGTTAAATGCAAAAAGCTAACCAAGGACATCGCCAACACCTAATACCCAAATCTTGTTTGCATACTTTCCTAAAATACTTTTATCTTTGTTAATTACAATTTCTGTTGGCTATTTTGACAAAAACCACTTCGAAAAATCAATTGTGTGGCCGTGGCCGGCCATTAGGCCTCCGGATCGCTACTAACGAACTAAATTCTAATATAAAATCTTCTTGCCTCCATTTTGTCTTTAATTGACGACTTCCACCTCGTCTGATACTGTTTGTTTTATCTTTCAAAAAAGGCAGCTAAACAGAGGCAAGGTTGAATTTGTTTTAAACCACAGAGCAGGCGCGATCAATGCGAATTTTCGCAAAATTATTCACGCCCAATCGATGCGAATTATTCAAATAATTACGCAAATTCCATGTTCTGATGGCAGCGGCAGAAAACAATAAGTGTAAATTCTATCTGCTGAACGAAGGCATATATATATACTATGCTATGGCTTTAATCTACTTACGTATTATCTCAGAAGCCGCAATAATAAAAATATGGGCAATGGATGAAACGAAAACACACTTTATTAAACTCTATCATGATTAAAACATTTTCAAACTCTTTCTCGTGATTCTTACCTAACTTAAACTGAGAAATGTTTTAACATTTTCTAATTTAATGCTTAGTTTTAGTGTTAACCTAACACCCTTCCACAGCAATGTTGTTTTAGACTTGCGAAATCTCGGAAGTTCTTTCGCGTGTTTGCTTTTGAACACCCACACTTCGGTATGAATATGTATGCATTTATCGCCTTTCAACAACGCCCGGAGGAAGATTTGCGAACGAATTCGTTTAGTTTACACGGCTGGTGTGAAGAAGTAGATTAGTTGAGGATTTGACACGATAGCCTGCATTCATTTAAAATTCTATGTTTTAATTCAACAGACGCATAGATATTTCTTAGGAAATAACGTGGCCATACCGCACACTAGCGGAAGGACTGTGATAGCGAACATGCACATGGCAATTTTCCGGATCCTGCAATCTAACGCCGCGTCCAACTATAGATAGTTTATCGGAATATAACAGTGTTCTTCCAACTTCTTTTGTCACGACCCACTTGGCACGGCCAAATGTTTTCACGACCTTCAGAAACTAAAATAAAAATGAAGTGAAAATTAATAATACAGAAAGCAACATTAAAATAAAATACTAAAATTGACAATTGCCTACCTTGATCTTGGCTTTATTTCGGTGATCAGTACCGGTTCCAAATTTGATCGATATTTTGTTTTAACATACGAACAAAAAAAATTCTTCAGCGATCCCCATTTATCCCTTTCGCGGGATCGGGACCCCCCAGTTCGAAGAGGCCTGATGGGCTATGCTATAAAATTTATATGCTTGCACTTTGTTTTATCAAATAGGTTCAGTAGCGTATCTCTATACGTTAAAAGATACATAGCTAAGTAAATAGTTTGCAAACATTTGCTTCTTTTGGATCAAAGTTTCTCAAAACTTGATGGGTAGGTTAAGAGTGGAAATGCTGCTAACAATATATCGTCACGCTAATAACCGAATTGCGTAAGTCATTTTTAGCAGTTTTGAGAAAAACGTAAAAACTTCCTAATGAAATTGTTATGCCATTGAGAGTCAATAATTTGCCATGGTTCAATTTTTTGATCGTAGCCGCATTTTAAGTTAATTTGTATGTCGCAGTTAAATGACGTCATAATGGCGCACTGTGACTTAGGCAGAAATGCGTCTATGACTTGGGGACATACGCAATTTCGCAACTTTACTATATGCACCAGTCCTGAAAACTAAACATTCCAAAAACGAATGTAATTTTCAGTATATACAATTTCTAATCCCAAAAATAGCTAATCAGTTTCAATTACATTATTTTTTATGTTTAAAAATATATTTTTCAATAATAGAACACGTTCTGCGCACCCACCGAAATAAGACTAAGATTATATTTAAAGAATAAAACAGCAATGCACCCAATATAAAAGCCAACCAAGGTGAATTGGACTCGGACAGTGAATATCACAAGTGCACGCCTTCCTAGTAGTATAAATTCAAATTAATACGCGCTAAGCTAGAATCCGAGATGCAAAAACTAGAAAATACCTATCCGAGGTTATCCTACCTTTGTGACGTCACAATAGTCCCGCGGTAACAATGGTCATTCATTATGACGAAACAATTGCATAAAAGTGCATGTCATACTAAATCTCCATTTTTATGGGTTTCGGAATTCTTAAAATAAAATCTGAGTTAACAGACAGGTGAGCAGCATTACATAAATACCTATTTTATAAAAAACTCAAAATCGCCAAAAATGACTTACGCAATTCGGTTATTAGCGGGACGATATGCAAAAATATGATATATATAGCAAAATAAATGATCGCAAATTTTTGTAAATGCACTAGCAGTAAAACGCATTGAATTTGGCTTTTTTAAAAGTTCATATGAAGCCTACACGAAACAACAATATCCTGACGTAACAATATCCACATAGTTACCATTCGCGCCAACCGCCGTTTACTTTTATGAGACATAACTGAAATAATGAACACTAAACGCCCTTTGAACAGTTGAATAAAGATTAGGTCACATTCTATATTATGGAGATCACTT